GTGGTGTATTTTAATTTAGCCACCCGGTCACTCACTACAGAATAGTATTGCTATCGCAAGTTCTGTACGCTCTGTCGCGAAGGAAAATATAGCATAGTTTCAGACGCAATGCGATGATTTTAAACTACACACATAATCTTTCCGTAAAGAATTATCTGGGCTTCAAAACAGACAAATAACTTGAATATTTAAAAAAAAAAATTCAATTTTAAAAAATCACCAATTTGGCGACTTTTTCCCACCTAAATGAAAATTATCAAATTCACTGCTGTTTTCTCAGTTTTGCAAATTTTTATGAGCCCAGTTAATGCAGCATTGGAGTAAGTTTCTAAACATTAAGCAGCTAGAACACAAACGCTTTCAATTTTCCAAAAATTATGAATTTTCCTCATATTGATGTTTTGCACCATTTTCAAAATAAGAGTAGACAACGCTGGCTTTAAATAATTATAACTTGACCTAACAATCCTGAGCAGTTATTGCAAACTTACAGCAGTTATTGAAATAACATATTATTGGCAAAAAAGCATAATTTCATATTACGATGGAGCCTTCAAAAACGCCCTTAATGGATAATAACTATATAAACATTAGAATTTTAATATGTCAAAGTACGTAATTATAAGACAGATTCTTAGGCTCCCCGCTAATGAGCCTCGAGAAATTTTTCTTCTGAGAAGAAGACCAAAGCACGCATTTTTTCTTCGAAGAGAGATTTAAAATCTTTATTAAAACATATTTATAATACTTAAATTAAAGTAAATATTCATAAATTATATTATAAATTTAAATACCAACGTTAATTTTAATTTAAATTTTATTATAAATTATAAGTTTTTCTAAAGAAACTAGTATAGTAGAAAAAAATGCTTGGCGTTATGTACAATTTTGTGAATTTTTAAAAAAAATATTGAGTGTGATATCCGACCGAAAGATAGTCAAGCAAGACAAAGGTAATCAAGCATTTTTCGTGAAATTATGATATATTATTTTAAGACAAATGCGAGTGATTACTTTGTTTTATAGATTATTTTTCTTTGGCCATAAAGTAACTATTATTCAAGATAACAACAAATAGATGTTACGAATCTATTGTTTTGGTATTATCTTGGTACTATCTCACATGAAGACACGTTTTAATGATTTGGAAGATTTGTTTATACATTTTTTTTATGCTTTGAGTGCTCTTATTGCGGTGCTTTTGAGCTTTGCAAACTTGGCCTATCTATCATTAGTTACACCTGTCACATATACACTAGATATAATAAATTAAGATTTGAACAGCATGATTATATGTTCGAATTTCAATTTTATAAAGTGTGTTTCATATTAAACCTTTGAGGGAGATTTTTATCAAATATATTTTTCATTTTTTTATTATCTTCTCTTAATTTAGTACAAAATAAGTGAAAATACATGTGTCTTTCTCTGAGTCAGAGGTAAAATCATTCAAACACTGCTCACTTCCAAACAATAATTTTTCAATTTCGCCCTTATTTTCAGTTATTTAGATATAAGAGAAACAGTTATTCATCATTGAAATTAATTTCTTTAATTAACGAAAGCCAGTATTGAAAAATTTTTGAATATAATCAAAAAACTTTTTTCAATATATATATATTCGATACTTCTCTACAACATATTCTTCTAAAGAGTTGATAACGGATTCTTACGTTGAATTGGATTCTGACCAATTACCCATCTTTCATTGATGATATTTTACATCATCACTGTGGTCGGAGCGAGTCGGGAGCAGAATTCGTATCAACCAGCCACCACTAGGATTCGAACCTGGGTGTCCTAAATAGGAGGCGATTTTTCTATCCCCTGAGGCACTACAACTCAAGAAATATATTTTGTCGTAACCTTCTATAAGGTTATTTAATTGATTTATTAATTATTTAATAGATCTATAAATGTTTGCTATATCAAAACTTTATAATTTCAGTAGCTACTTTGGCTCTTGAAAATCCTGATTTATATGATGGTGATATGGCTGGTATTAATGGACCTTTGGTAAGTATTGTTTTATAATTAAGTATAATCGCATTTTTTTTAAAAAAAAGAAAATTTATTTAATAATTTACATCTGCAAAAATGTTGGATAACAAAATATCTTATTGTAAAGAGTATAAAATGTTACTCGCTATTGCCTCGCTGTTCTCTATCAATATTTTTATGTTTTGGAAAAGATATGAAAATAAAACTGCATTTTGAAATTAAAGAATTAATGATCTAAAAAAAGTTTAATAAACCTTAGAAATCAGGCATCTTTATGGTTGAAAGTTTTACATCTTTAAAATGTAATAAAGTTCTGACATTTTCACCATAGTAAACATAATTTTCTATTTTTTTTTTAAATCAAAAAAATATTTTTTTATGAAATAAAATTCTGTACTATCTAAAGAAATGCAATTCAACATCTAACACACTGTTACTGTTACATACCCTCCAACTGCTACGGAATTTCCGTAGTTTCAGAAATCTTCTTTTCAGACGGTAGCAAAATTAATGTCTTAATATTTAAAAAAAATTAATTTTAGCTTAACCTGTCCACTATTACTTATAAAAGTGCAGGCCATATGGCTAGATTCTTAAGTTCTGATAAAAGTTTTATGAGAGATCCATTTGCTTTAAAAATTTCTACTTTGGTTCGCTACCACTAGAAAGAATTATTTTCAAAATCCTCATAAGTTGGAGGGTATGCTATTAATTCTTAATATTTTTAGCATTGTTTAATTTTCATACTGCATATATTATTCATTTCCTTTAATATAATTATAAAAGAAAATACAATATTTTTCAATAAAATTTTATTAAAGGCATTTTCAATAAATTGAATAAAGGATTTTAACTGTCATCGACTCAGTCGTTTTAATGCATCAATTAATTATTTAAATTTAATAACTAATTAAATTGAAATTGAAATATGCAGTGTAAAAATATGTATCCCTCTTATATTATTAACACATCTGAAACATCTGTTTTGAAAAAAATATAATTCTTTATAACTTTAATTGCTGTCTACTTCTAATACTTACCACTAAGTTTCATATACATATTAGTTATAGATTTATTTACTTTTATTATGTGGGTAAATTAATAATAATTTTGCAATTAATTACTTATAATAAAAATTATATTAAATAATAATAATAAAAGTTGAAAATGATGTTACCATAATAAATTATTCATGCACATTATTAATTCAAAGCTGTCACTTAATTTCAAAGCTGTTAGTTACTTAATTGCAATCAATTTCAATTCCTTTCATTCATTTGATTTTATTGTGCAGTTTCAAGAGGTATTTATTATTTTATTATAGGACATTGAACGAACCTCTATCGCTGGAATCAGGTGGAGATGGCCAAATGCGACAATTCCTTACGTCATAGGCACTTCTTTACGTAAGATACTGATTTATAAACAAATTCAAATTCTCTTTTAAACTATTTATCTGTCTCATTTACTATCATAACGGCAATAGTATCCTTTTATATATATATATTTTATGAAATAGTATAGATTTTACGTTTTGTAACTGCACTGTTAGAATTTTCATTCTAAAATTACGCTAAAATAACTGGCAGCAGTTTGTCTACCCAATTCACTTGAAGCATTACGGTTAGGAGCCCTTTTTTCATCCACGGATCTGACAACGTTTAATGATTGATTAGATTAAAATATTGTGAATACAAAACTATAAGGGTTTGTAACCATTCACTACTAACATGGTTTTCAAACCGTAAAAATGAAATTTAACTTTATTACATTGAAATTAGGTTCTGTTCTTTAGGTTATTTATTCCAATTCTTCAGTATTAAATTGAAGCAAAATAAAGTCTTAATATTTAGATTTTAAGATCAAATTGGCAAATTTAGTTACATGTTTCTCGATTAATCTGAATTTTTCAATAAAAATCTCTAACTGACTGCATTGAGGTAGCAGACAAATTTGTATTTATAAAGATGGTTCTATAAATTCACTCCGTAAATTCAGCTTTTGTGCCATACACTAATTGCTATAAGATTATTTGGCAACTGTTGTTGGGTTAGGCATTCGATGAGAATGAAAATAAGAAAAGGAAATTATCATCTTTATCACGTTACTTGGCTTTCAGCTTTTGAAGAATCGATACTTGTTGCCGTTAGGCCTAGTGGGTGAGGATAAATTTCTGGTTATGTAATAGGATTAACTGAAAATAGTAAATAAACGATTTTTAACAGTTTGTGGTTATGGGTTTGTTTTGGTTTAATAAGGGAAAATAACTTAGAAATAAATAGTTATTTAATCATTTTCTTCAGGAAATTTTTTGGAGTGCTGTTAAATTGAGTACTAAAGTGTAATTTATTCTGCTTGTGAACAGTTTGAAAAGAGTATAAAAATACTGTTATAAAAAAGTGAAAAAAAAGGTTAAATGCAGGCAATAAATAACAGTATATTTTACATTTTGTTTATATATTTAAACGATTTCGCCCCTTATTTTTGAGTTCTTAGGAAAAATTAATAAAGATCAGATAGTTTCAGATAGGTACATTATAGTTTCATATTTTTGTACAGTTTCGGCCATACGAAACTGTGAGAAGCAGATTTAACTTTTCAAACTGTATGGAGTATTTAAAATAATTTATAAAAATGTTTTTTTTTTTACTAATGAAAATGTTTTTATAATTAAAAATATTGAATGCGCAAATATATGCTTCAACAAAGTTGCGCTATATTTACATATTAAGAAAAATGTTTTATGCTTGTTGAGGGAAAAAAAAACATATTTTATGCAGCAGTAAAAGTGCATTTTTATGGACGAGTATGTGACTTGTAATTTTTATTGAGAATCATTTTTGTTATAATTAGTGTTTTTTCTTGAATGTGTTTAATGCTTTTATTGTTCTTCGTTTTTCTTGCTTCTTCAAGAAGTTCTTTTTTCTCCATTTTTTGCTAAGTGAATGTTGCAATTATAAGTAAGCAGTGGCTTATTAAAATGTTTCATATTTATGAAGGACATAGAACAACCTTAATCATGAGAGCTATGGATAATTACCACAATAACACCTGCGTTCGATTTGTTCCAAGAACAGACGAAAGAAACTATATCTTTATCTTTTTAGGGAAAGGGTAAGTCAAAATGTTTATCTCTCTCGCTTCCTCCCTCTCTCTCTGCATTTATATGTATATATATAATAAAAATAAATTAAAATGAGTTCAATGCTTCAAGCATAATTTATTTCGCTTACGTCACCACAGGTGTTATTCTTATATCTATCTATCTATCTATCCATACATACATACATGCATATATGCATACATATAGATAGATAGATGGATGTTTTACTTTTTTGCTTAAAGATCAGCCAAATTAATTCAATAAAATTCCATATTTTTTTTGCGATTGCTGATAAGATGTAGACATTGAGCTGATACACTTGCAGAAAATCAGTTCAACATTGAAACAAGTGTTGAACTTGAACTATAATATGGTTCATATTCACTGCAACCATAATAATGTAGAATTTAACTTTTCCTTCCATTCAAATGGAACCATAATATCGTTAGTACCATATAATCACAACCAAGAAGTCCAATTATACTGTTTAATTTAATAACGTATAAAAATTGCATAGTATTATAATTTCCCAAATTGTTAACAGTGTAGTAAAACTTTCACAATTTAATGTAATTACTTTCACAAACTTATTTAGTATTCCATCTGAGATAAAAGAACTTCAGAATTTCAGAAATTGAAAACTCATAACTTTCTACTCTGAAATAGGTGCANATATATATATATATATATATATATACAGTCAATCCCCGCTATAGTGAACCTTCAAGGGACCAAAATTTTGGTTCACTATAACCGGGAGTTCACTATATCCCTACTGTAAACAATTTGAACCAATTTTTCCGAACTGCTTCCATTCATTACACATTATTTGTATAAATGACCAATAAAAAGAAATACAAAAATGATTAAAAAACAATATGCAGTAACATAAAATGTAGTACCATAAACTTTTATTTTTTATTACCCTTCATCTTGCGAACAGAAAATTTGGGGATAGGAAACTGAGATAGAAGAAGCAAACAAGAAAAAATGCTGACGGCTACATTACACTCAATAGATGGTTTTAAAAATCGGTTGTTGTTGTTGCTGATCCTTTTCTGGCCTGACGAAGTCAGACCAGATCTATGAACCCGTTGACCTGACGAAAATCAAACACCAAAAGAGGAGTAGATAAAAAACGGTATATGTATTTAATGTATAAATTTTAAAGACTAAAATATAAAGATTTAAATTTCAAAATAGAAAACGGTAAATTTTCTGATGTTATCGAGAATAAATATGGTAATGGAGCCCACATTGTCATAATCTGGACGACGGAATATCACTAATTCAAAATAGTCGAAAAAAAACTTTTTTTTTCTTTCACTGCAGGAAATTTTTATAAAAATATTTTTTTTCTCCAAATATTTTGCTATAAGCGTGAAAAATGCAAAGAGTATATAAAATCAATGCTGAAGTCTTAAGCCAGAATTACAGCAAATGTGCTATTTTTTTTAAAGTTCTTACTTCAGACTAAAATTTTTCTTTTTACAAAAAATAGTCAACTTGTATTTTCAAATCTTTGAAAATACCACGTTTAAAAATAGTAATTGCACTATCACTTTACAAAGGAATAAAGGAAAAAGGAATATCTTCATATTTTTTATAGTTTTAAAATTTATATATTTTTACATATTACAATTTATATATATACACATATGAAGGCTTACAATTTATCTATACGCCCTGATGAAGTGCAGTCTTGCTAACATACATATCTTAAAATATTCGTTTTCTGCTGGAATTGTATTTTGAATTCCCCCCCCCTCTCCTTCTCTCTGTATATATATATATATACTATAACGAAAATTAATTAAAATGAGTTTCATGCTTCAAGCAAAATTTCTTTCATTTCTGATTACACAGGTGCTATTCTTATGTGGGTAAATTGAACGGTCTACAGGAATTATCACTCGGTAACGGTTGTCACTACATTGGTACAATAGTCCATGAGTTGGGGCACGCTGTTGGCTTCTACCACGAACAGAACAGATCAGACAGAGATGAGTACTTGATCATTTATCTGGAAAATGTTAAAGAAAGTAAGTAAATATTCTGTTTCCCTTTTTTTTAAAAAAAAAGATTAGCTGTTTAATATTCAACTTGATTTTGGATCTGTGCAGCTGGGATATCTGCAAAAACAGTATATAAATATTAAAATTATTTGCTGGTGTTATCAAATATCTGAGGAGTTTATTTGATGACTCGTGTAAGTGATACTTTCAGAAGTTTGTTGATCAATAACATGAATTGGTACCACAATATGGGTATGCTTAACATATTAAAATTATTTTTGCCTTCGCTTAAGTTTTAATGCAACTAATTTTACTTTAATTTATAACCATATAACTGGAGATGAACAGCCGTCCCAATTCTGAGTTTACAGCCATCGATATTCAAATGCAGAGCCGTGTAATTTGGCTCCCGACCCAGAAGACAGGGGAATTACTGGATCAAGCATCAACTCAAACCTTTAAATTGTTCAGAATACAAAATTATTGCGCAATTGCTTTTAGAAACAGGTCTAGTACTCGCCACTGTGCAAAAATTAAAACAGATTTTTTACTTTTAGATAATGTCAATGATAACCGGCCTTGATAGTCTAATGGAAAGATTGTTTTGAAATTATTTACTGTGACACGAACTGGTGAGTAAATTGCGTGTAAACTTAGTGGAAACGTATAAAAATGTGTTAACTTAGTGTGTGGTTCACATTTGCATATTGCTAAGCCCACAATTCTAATAGTTTTCTTGGGCAAATCTACATACGGACATATGCTAACTAACTTTACAGTTTTATGATATTTAGTTTATAACTTTCCTTAATTGGCATTTCACATCTTCGATGCCGACCGGCCTGTGTAGGGGCAGGAAGCTGTCCTTGCATCAGAAAGGTCCTGTGTTCGAATCCCGGGCAAGGCATGGATGTTTCTTTCTCTCTCTGTGTGTTCTGTGTACTTTCTCCTTTGTGTGTGAATGTGACCCGCCCTATAAACGGGTTGTGGTTGTGTGAATGGCGGGCAGAAGTCGAATTCCTGGCCATAGATGGCGTCACTGAAAAACAGGAACATCGCACCCCCATTGCCTAAACAAGCATACGACAAAAAAAAAACTATCTTCGATGATTCAAACATTAAAGAAAAAGATTAAAAAAATACATGTTTCATTGTTGACGAAAATTTATCAAAGCGCAAAATATTTACCTTTAACCCTTTAATGGGCCATTTATTTCTAGTAAAGGTAAATTATTGTATTTTCAGAATTGAAATTGTTTTAAGAACAGTACTTGATATAAGGAAAAAAAATCATTTAGTTTATAAAAATGCCATTTTTTTATGGTAAATATATTTAACATGATCTAGTAATAACTTATTGACTTTTATTTTTCTTTATTTATAAAATAAATTTTATAAATGCTACAAACTTCAAACTATTTCAAAACTTTTATGCGTTTTTTTAAACTAACAAAAAGTTACCAATTTTATTCATACGCACTTCAAGAAAGCTAAAGTTACTAACAAATGGAAACCTAAATTAAAAGTGGTGGTAAGTATATTTACCAAGGCCTTAAAAAGGGTTAAAGTAAAAGTGGAATTATAAAGGATTAAAACTGTAGTGGAGAATCAGAAGTTATTTATCACGTAGCTTACGCATGAAATTTAACTATTTACTATGTTTCAGTTCAAATCTATAATTTGTTATTATCTAGGTGTTCGGCATAACTTCAAAAAGGTCAGTCCACAAGGGAATATCTTGTACAATTCATTTGATTACGACTCCATCATGATTTACGGTAACAGAGCCTTCTCCTACAATGGAAAGGACACGATGGTGGCCAGAAATGGACAGAAATTAGTTTACTCATTCAAAAAGCCAGGAATGAACAAAAGTGATATTGAAAGAGTAAACAAAATGTACAAATGTAACTCTTATTAATAAATGATAAGAATAAAATATTTCATTATTTCCAGGCTGCTTTTATTTGACATTTCTAATTTTCTTCAATTTATTTTCTTAATTTGCATTTAATTAATCCCTACTAGAGATGTTCCGGGTAAATAGCACATAGCAACTAGACTTTCATTGTCTGCTTATTAACCGGTCACGGTTGACAAATTTCAGTGTACAGTACCGGTTACCTGTACTGGGTAATTGAATGTAATTACCCAGTTTCGTATAACCAGTCAAGGATAATTTTAACTGGCATTCTTTGTCTGTGACATTCATCTATAATATACGCAATCACACATATTAATGCTACGAAATTTTAAATGTGAGAAAATCTTGCCGAATATTCTTTTGTCATGAGACTAAATATATCAGATAAACAGTTTAATTTTTAAAAAAAGTATTGGGAAGTTGCGTAATTCTAACGTAATTTAGAGAAAAAAATAACGTCTAATTATTTCTTACGGTAGACTTAGTTTTGAGACATTCTTGCGGTCTAGGCGATATTTTGCTACCATTTTAGCCAAAAAAAATAGTGTTTAATGAGAATTAAAGTTTCAAAGCGATAGGACAAATACAATACTTGTCTAGAATCATGTCGAAAATTCTGGGGTTTGTTTGCCAAGTCTATATGAATATTAATGTGTATCGCAGAGAGATTAACCTTGGATATTGCGTTATTCAAATATATTCGGGGAAATAAGATAGATCCTAGGCAGCTGAGTAGAGCAGTGTTTGGGGGAAAGAGCTCCTGGGGCAGTCTTGAAAAGTCATGAACGGAGCCAGGCCTTTAATCTGCCCCTGCCATTATCTCAGTTTCTATTTTTAGTTAATTTCGAATATTTAAAACAGAATAGAAGGAAGATATGATAATAGAAGATACCTAATAGAAAAAAGTTAATTGGTTAAACTGAAATTTGAAAGCATCTTTAAGATATCTCTACTAACACTCTATTTGGGTTGAACTTCTGATAAGAAACTGTTTCATAAATTGCCAATGTACAGTGAAAAAAAATGGACCACACTGAATAACTGTTGCTTTAATGATTGGATCTTCACGTTCTCGGACTCAGACTCGACTTAATGACTCGAGGGGGTGACCTCAAATAGGCCAGTTAACAAGAGCAGACTATATAGGTTACAAAATCTGACAAAAACATTTTTTTTTTTTTAATAATCATACCTTTTTCTTTTTTTAACCGATTCGGATTTCTGATCCCATAAATATAGGGAGAAGCTGCAATTTTGAAAGATGGTCTCAATAGTTTGGTCAGGAGGGTGCTTCCAAAGTTTGGACAATTTAATGTTCATTTTACTTTTTGCTCATTTTGCATGCATGTATAAAATTTTTACCCAAAGATAATTCCATGCAAAAAATAACTTTTAGTAAGTATTATTTTTTATTATTTTATTTAATAATCGTTGAAAAAAAATTGAATTGTAAGGTACAGAATATTTTGCATCATTTTAAGAAATACAATTTTACATGGCAAAATGCAAAATTATTGCAAATTCTATTAAATAGTTCTTGAAAAATCAAATTTTAAATATCTGACTTTATTGAAATTCAATTTCCCAGGAACTATTTAACCGATTTTTTTCACATTTTATATCTTGCCGTATAAATTCGAATTCTTTAAAATGACGCAAAAAACTTTTTCTTGACAATTGTTAAAAAAATTTCTATTATTATTAAAAATTTGTATTATTAAAGTGTTGTAAAAACATCGATTTAAAATATGTCACTGATCCTACTATGTAGCTCATTTTGTATTATTTTATTATGAAAGACACATAAATTACACTGCCGGTGTATTATTATTAAAGTGCTATAAAAACATCGATTTAAAATATGTCACTGATCTTACTATGTAGCTGATTTTGTATTATTTTATTATGAAAGACACAAAAATTACACTGCCGGTGTATTATTATTAAAGTGTTATAAAAACATTGATTTAAAATATGTCACTAATCCTACTATGTAGCTCATTTTGTATTATTTTATTATGAAAGACACAAAAATTACACTGCCGGTGTATTATTATTAAAGTGTTATAAAAACATCAATTTAAAATACGTCACTGATCCTACTATGTAGCTCATTTTGTAGTATTTTATTATGAAAGACACAAAAATTACGCTGCGGGTGTATTATGATTATTGTGTTATAAAAACATAGATGTAAATACATGATAAGGAAATAATCTAACAATATTTTTAGATTCATAATTCCATGTACTGTAAATAACAAAAAGTGGTTAAAAAGATTTACTAAACGTGCTTAAAAAAATAATGAAGACAAATTTCTCTAGATTTTTTTTTCTTTGGTTTTCTTGATTTATCATTCAAACTATTATGAATCATCAGAGATTGTACTTTTCCTTTTTTAAAATAATGAATACCTCTTTTTGCGCCTAATCAATATTTCTATTATCAAAAGTCAAATTTTATTATAGTATACGCAAATAAAAATTTATTCTTGCACAAATAGGGCGATTTCATTCTCTTTCAAACAATTCATATTTTTTTGTGATAAAAGAGTGTATGTGAATTATTCTAGCAAAATTTTAGGTGAATCATTTGTGTAAATAAATACATATAAAATAGAGAGGTAAGTTCTCATGAAAACACTATTAAAATTAAATTATCTTGTTTTATGCGATACTTGTCTTTCTTTGTATTTGCATACTCTAAGTCGTTCAGAACGTTCCAATAAAAACATTTATTAAATATTTTTATAAAAATCACCCCTGTCCGTTTAATTTTCGAAGCCTGAGTGTCAAATAAAATTTTGGATATTTTTTTTAATAATGAATAATACTATAAAAAATTTTCTGTAATAATGATAAATTTTCCACTGACGGTTTTCTGCTCATTATTTTGTATTAATTTTTTTAAAAAACTTTTGTTTTTTAGATTATTAAAAAATATCAAAAATTGTGAAAGAGTTATTGGGCAAAACTATTGAAGGTTTTCATAATTTTCCTCTTTATGCGATACAAACCAAGGGTAAACATAAAATTCCAACTACTTTGGTTTACTGACGGCAATTACAAAAGCACTAAATTGAGAGTTTTCTTTATTTAAGGGTAATATAAACCATGGAATTCAAGTAATTTTCATAGAATTAACTCACGATGATAAATTTAATTCAGAAATTACGTTTTCAGACTATTTATTTATTTAAAAGTTTTGCTTCAATGTTGTAAACAAGAACTAAACAAATTCATGTCTCCAGGAAATCATCTCCAGGAACACAAAAAAAACAAAATAAAATAATAAAAAAAAACTATCATTTTTGAAATAAATATTTTTCTTTAAATTAACTTTTATATTTTTTATAAAGCGAAATAGTTTTGAAATTAGAAAATTGGATTAATTTAAAGGTGGTAAAAAATTAAAAGAATTTTTTTCTTTCAAGTATAAAAAAAGGCTAAAGACTGAAATTAACGCGTTGTGAAAATTTACGTTTATTTTTAACATTTCACATCTGCAGAATGAATAGCATTTTCTTACATATCTTGCTATCGAGCGATTTTATTTTGATAAATATAAATATTTAAATGTTTTACTTGGATTTCTGAATAAGAAAACAACAGAAGGTTTTTTTCTCATCAAAGATTAAATAATCGTATCACACATAATACATTTATAAGCTTTGTCACATAGTCACAGAATATAAACCTTTACCACCATCTTAATTTTACAAACATGGAGATTACTCTGCTCCTTATTAGCTTATTCACTGTTACTTTAGCTGAATTTATTCAGCTAAGTCCAGATCAGGAAAAAGGTAATATTTTTTTCTCCATTTATTAAGCATTTTTGAAGAAAAATATATCAATTTGAAATGGTATGATATTATGCATATATTAAAACAGCGTTTCTCAACCTTTAAGTATTCGCGGCCCAGTTTTCAATCATAATTTTCATCGCGCCCCCCCCACTTACAGTAAAATGTATACAA